TAAAAACCCTGTTTGCAAATTAACATAATGAAACTTCGGTCTTTGCAACTTTAGTTAGAGAAGTTTCACAAAAACAATTTTTGTTTAAGATTTCGAGACGGGGAAATCCTGAAATATTAGGTCGTCTCGAAAGTTTGTTCTCATCATTTCCAAAAATATATAACTACTCATTTTTCCAACCAACTTGATCGTTTTTCTTTTTGTTTGAAAGATAAAATCATGCCTTTTATAGTGCTTGCTGCTTACCGATCATGTTAGTATAGATAGGGGCGGTAGAGGAAAATTGCTCAAATTTTGAATTTTGTGGGTAGAATCTAAAAAAATTCTTAAACTTCCATAAAAATCGAAGCAGTCGGTATTATAGGTTTTATTACCTGTTTACCTGTTTTCTAAATGAGAAAGTTTTGTTGATTGAACGCCTCTAATAAAAGTTATGGTTTTTGGGCCAGCAGTACAAAACAGCGAATCTGATTTTTTTTCTCGAAAATCATAACTTTTGATAGAGACGTCCAATCAGCACAAACTTTGCTCAGTTACATGCATCTTAGAAGGCATTCCATATAACAGACCAGATTCACCTTGAGTTATTGAAAGAGTCCTTGTACTCTACTGATAGTAAAGTTATTTGACTAAGGCTGCATAAAGTTGAAAATTATGAAGCCTTGAAATCCACAGCTCGCGTCTGCAGGCTAGGTCGTTCTGTGGGGCCAAATCAGGCTGCATCATAGTTGGTGATTCGAAATTATCAAAGAAACAACGCAATGCTTATTGCTGTCGATTTCTGATATAAGTTTTGCGATTTATTCAAAATTTTCGTAAATTTGACCTAAATTTGATGAAAACATTTCAAATAATCACTATAATGCTTCGTGCAAGAGCTTTTTTGATTCTTTTTAAGCATCTTCTAAGTCAGATTTCTGCCAGGAGCCCAAAAATTCACTTGTTACTCCATGAAACTTATGTTCAAGCAACTTAATTCGGTGCGACGGTTTTGTCGCAACAAGTACGTCGCGAAGCTCTAATAGCAAGTTTAAAATCTTAACAGTTGTTGTGGCAATCCAAGGATGTTCTCCGTTTCTTTCAAAAACTAGTTTAAAGAAAGTTATAGCATTGCGACGGTTTTGCGAAGATAAATATGTCGCGACGGAAAAATTTGTCGCAATCAGTTTTTTCCCATGAGTTAGGATCTCAGTGGTAGAAAGAGCAGGTAACAATACCTATAATACCAACTGCTCAGATTTTTACTGCAAAATTTCAGATTTTTTGAGAACCTAAATAGAAAAATCAAAGTCTGAATGATTTTCTACTGGCTCCTATATCTCTAATGCATGCTAGACAGAGAGCCGCTAGGATACCCCTGTCAAGAGCATGATTTGCTTTCTTAAACAAAAATAAAAGCAATCAAATCAGGGTCAAGCGTGTGATGCGACTGTCGCAAAGGGGGTCGTAAAAGGGGCACCGACGGTGGGGGTGGGGTCGTAGGAGAGGGTGGTCCGAATTAAAAAAATGTGGAATTTAGGAAATAAGCTTCTTAGTCGCAAACATTCTCTACTCTTCAGAAAACAGCATTTTTCTCCCTGCAAAAAGGTGACGCAGACGGGGATCGAACTTGCTGGCCACAAGTATGACCGAAGCTTCCAAAGATACTTCCAGAAGCTAACACTAGGCATGTATGAGTGACAAGGATGTCAAATGTACCAATTGGCCTAGAAATCCTTGTTCCGAAGCATCACTGAAGTCTCACATTCTCGACAAAAGCGCTCATTCTTACCAGCGATGATCATCGATAATTTAAAAAAAATTTTGTTATGTCTTTCAAGAACCCATACAATTTACCTGTGCTTTAAAAATGCTCTGCTACAGTTGTGCAAAACCTGGTTACATTTCATAGCCTGTGGATTTTCTTATAATTTTATGTATGGTAGCAAAAAATCAGGAAATGGGGGTCGTATCTGGGTCACATCTAAATTTCTTCGGAGCTATTGAAGCTTGTTGGCTGCAATTTTGCTGTAATATGAGACCATCCTCCTACTTTCCCTCGTAAAAATTGCAGGCTGTTTTATAACTTCTCTAGTAAGTTACAAAATTTTAAGCTCAAAAATCCCAGTTTTAGCTTTTTAGGATCGCATCTAAATTTGCGAGAGTCGCATCTAGATTTTTTCGAGCTCACTGCTCCTCCAAAGCTGAAACTTTTTCTTTGGATAGTCTGGGCAATATGCTACAGAACCTGTGCTTTGCAGCCTCTCAGTCTTTTCTTGGCCTTAGTTACGAAATTTTCAAACTACCGTGCTCATGCACGTTTTTGACGTCGTTCTGGACGGCGCTCAAGGGGTTATTTTCGCGGGGAAAACTGTGGAAGAGGCAGGAAGTAAGCTTCTTAGTCGAAAACATTTTTTGTAGCTCAAGAATGTCATTTTTTCTCCGTGCAAAAATTTGTGTCGCCTACGGGAATCGAATTTGCTAACCTGAAGTATGCCTGAAAATTCAAAAGAAAACTTGCAGAATCTCAAGCGTTATTAAAGGTGTGTATGTGTGCTACAGATGATGGACGCACCCATTGGCCTAGAAATTTTGCTTCCGAAACCTCACTGAAGTTCTCACGCAGGTGTTTTTTGAGATTGACATTCGTTTATGCAGGTTACCGCGAGGAATGTGGGCAGGGGAGGTAAGGGAGATAAATGGGTGAGGGTGGGGGGGGGGGGGGGGGGAAGGGGGGAGGGGTCGTACGGATGGGTACCTTTAAGGGGGCGGGGGGTCGTAAATGAGGGTCCCGGATCGCATCAGCACGCTTGACCCTGAATCAAATCGTTGTAAAAACCAGAAGTTCTGAATTTTTGGATGGCGTTAACGAAATTTTGAGACGACCCAATATAAAGAATGAAGATGTTTCATTTTATGCGTTTACATTTAGAATTCGCACCTTGACAACCTCCTTTGAGCTATCCGCTCTTCTTGTACTGTTGGCTACCATTCTCAGCTCATTAGCAGTATTCTCGATATTCGTAAGTTCGATTCTGATGGTGTGAATACACAAACCAATAGCTCTGTTTTCAGCTACTTGTTTTGCTCCGCGATCGATATGTGCTGCTTCTGTGTTCGTGGTTGTATCTATTTTCATGTGAGTGTAGGAGATTTTTACTCATTGTACCAATCACTAATCACTTAACTCTAAGTAAGACAAGCAATTGGTAGCTTTATCTGATAAAAGGGTCAGTTGTGATGCAGTATGACGATCGGAAATGAGTTCGTCGGTCTTTTCGAAATAAACAACTTGTTTGTGACAAGATGAGAGCAGATGTGAAGTGCGGCGCGAGAACAGAATTATAAATGGTTTTTGGTGCCCGATTATGACATACTTTTGAAAAACGAAATATTTGGCGGATATTCGATTTTTATATTTAGCCGGAAGTAGCGTTGCATAACCAACGGAAGAGATTTCCATGCAAAACTATTGATACATAGTCTTGAAACAAAATTTTGTGAACCCTCACAATTTCCGTTCCCGAGATCATCCATGTTGATAAATTTTAGAGAGAAATCATGAGCTTCCTAGTGGGGCTTGCTACAAGAACGATTGTTGGTACACACTCAAATTGTAGGCAAAATTTGGCCGCAAAGATGCTAAATCAACCAAATAAGATCCATTTTTGGCGTTGATTTTATGAACTGCACTTGCTAATAACTAAAAGTCCTGGTGATCGGATGTGCCTACGTTCATGAAGTCGCATTTCTTCAGACTTTTTAAATATGTTACGAATTAAGTTTCCAGCATTATTAGAAGGTACCACGTTAATCATAAATACCAACAAGATTACAGAATGATTAGTGTTTTTAAACATTTTCCGGACGAATATAGGTACTTTATGTATCAATCGAGATCTAAAAGATTCATTTATTACTAGTATGAATAAATGTAGTGAAAGATATGATAAAATTCTAGTAAAATTTACCACGGAATGGGCGGCAGAGGCAATTATTTATTGAAATGAAGACGAAACCTTTGGATAATAAATTTTTGTGCATTCTTGAAATGTTACCAGAATTTTTTTCTTTATCGGATGATCTCAGAGTATCATAACTATTTCTTTTTTAGTTCTATCAATGCTGACCGGATGCCTCCTCTTCCCGTACGGATGGGATCATCCGCGAATCAGGGAGATTTGCGAGTCAAAAAGGCAAGAAATGTTTTTCTCCCAATTTGATTTGGGATTGTTCTAAAGAAAAAGATTTTACACTTATTATTGAAATAAAAATGCCTTGGAAAAAAACTTTATTTCGAATGACGGATTTTTAAACTAGTTGAAAAAGAGGTCCAGCCAGTATTTGCTTGAAACTTTTCTTCTCTATTACTAAAAACACCTAGAAAACAGTATGAACTGCGCAAAAGAAAGAAATTATAGCGAAAATGATAGAAAGAAATCGTCAGAAGTATACCAGAAGCGAGAGTGGTCTAATTTATAAATTTTAGAAAAAAATTTCCGAAGCGATACATTTAGATGCCGTTATTGAAAAGATTTTTTTTCGAGTCTACATTACTCTATTTCTTCTTGAATCCTGCACCCCTCGATTGCTAATGCCCGCAGTGACTGTGGGAAAACAGAATTCATGACGAGCAACACGCCAGACGTAAACAAGCCCCCCCCCCCCCCTCCCCGTTGCATAACGACGAACACTCAACAGAGATCACTGCACTATAGTGAACCGAATGTATACGCTAGTATCGTCTGCCGGGACAAAACATACTAGTAGATAACAAGGACAATAAGTCTAGAGAAATTATATTCTGTTTTAATAATCTTTCATTTGAATAATTTATAACAAAATACATGCCCCTGATTTGAAGGGAAAACCTTGCATGAAGTCGAGCTTTCGTAGTTTTTTGTCTAAATAATCTATTGAGATCATAGTCCATTATGCGCTTGTACAGAAAAGTTGTTGAACAGTGCAATTCCCCTTACCTAAATAATAATCAACTTGAAAAGCATTACCTTATTTTCAGGTACAAACTGGGTCTCTGCCAACTACGATGGCCTTACATTCTAGCAGTCATCCTTATTGTTGATCAGTTAACTCTTTCAATATTGGGGTTCACCCTAACGTTCAAACGTCCACCAAAAATGCACGAACTGCATCATATTTCAGGTAATTTTTTTTTACTACGTCAAATTGGCTTCTGAGTTTTCTACAACTACACATCAGTGGCTGATTGCGAAAATTTTTTGGAGAAACTTCCCACGATTCTTGCGCTTTCATAATCCCAAGAAAAAAAAGCGTGGAGACAACCACGAGCCAGAAAAAAATTCTTTCACATGGCTATTTCGAGTTTTTGAAGAATTTTCAAAAAACTTTCAATTATTTGAGTATGAACAAGTTATTTGCACATTTTTACAGTCCATTTTTTATATTTCAAAAATTTCGCGAACCCTCCCCTCCGCCTCTCGGTATGCCAATGTAGTACAACTCGAAAATTCGATAGTCTATATTAATCCGTCAGATTGCATTCGGCCTGCATGGATTTTGACGGATGTGGGCATGAATTTAGTGGCAGATAGACTACAGAGAACACATGACAGCAACAAAACTCCTCAAAGCAAGATTTCCTAACAAACCTAATTCTTTTGCGAAATACTAGCAAATGTACAGCCACAAGACAACTTCGACCCAATATTCACGTCTGATTCCAAATCAGCGTGAATCGTATGTCCTTCCGGATAATCAACTTCTAGAATTTTCTGCATCCTTTAGCGTGTCAATGTAGGACTGAAAGGCCTCAGTCGTTCACCATCTCCGTTAGGGTACTATTTTTTTTCCTGTTTCCTCATTTTCAAACGATTTCCTCGTCAATAAAGGAGGGAGCCGACATGGCATCGACTCTACGGAGTAGGCGCAAGGATCTCGTCACGGAATTTACGGCTACCTTTGCGATGTGGCAGAAGGAACTACTGCAAAGTGGATACGAGTCATCCATTCAGACACACTGTGCTATTTTACGAATGCTATTATGCAGTTTGAGATCCGGACTGCTCTGGCAGTAATATTTATCATAGTACGAGTAAGCGTGGCGAATCGTGCCATGCGTCTATAAACCCCTAAGTAGCTAGCTTTGCTATCGAACTATTATCCATTTGAAGACTTGCGTGGCCGAACTTGCAGCTGCAGTAGGTTAGCGCTGGCAAGGATCACGATCCCTGTCCATGTAATCTGGCAGGAATCAATCGCAAGAAGTACCTGACCAGAACGGAAAGAGTCAAGTTCTCCTTTCATGCAGTGCAAATATGTGCGAACAAAACCTACAAAAAAAAACAACCACTTGCACCTAGCAAGTGCGAGAATGTTCGGCGTAATATCTCAACAGTACTATATGAACATTGTGCGTCTTGAGCAAATAAGACGTCGCACCGGCGAGGTGTCGTCTCCTTTAGTGATGCAACTCTAATCCTGTCAACGGCTTCCGTTTATGTGCGCTCCGCTATTTGTACACTAGCCACTGCAGCGCAAGCGAGCGCAATTGCTTGTCATTATAATGATCCTACGCGGGTCCATTGAAGGGGTTCGGATGACTATAGCAGAATTTAGCAACCATTTGCGCAGAAATTTGTAGTCTGAACTAGCGATCTATAGTACTGAATCTTGTCTAGACAAAACAAAAATGGCCACTGAAAATCGTTGAATCAACGGTGCCCGAATGCTGACATTTATCAAAATGCGCACGAACCGCACAAAAGGGTGCGAAAACTAACGCATAAATATCTCCTAGATAAAGTATTAAAAAAAACAGAAAACCTTTGAATTTTATGCATGAAAATTGCCTTAGAATCTAACAGATAAACACGCTTAAGAGCTTTATATCTTCAAAAATATATTTTCCTATAGGACTGCAAGGTTGGGCCTCCTACACTTCGAAAGCTTTCTGAAAACTATTCTCAAGGTCAGATTTTTAGCCAAGGCAGATTTTTCATACCGATTTTTTGTTTTGATCTCTTCTTTAACCCGACATAGCACTGCTTATGCTTCATCAGCATTTTCTCCATGAGGTTCGCGCACCTAGTTTTTTGTTCAATCTCAGTGATCATTCAATGAGCTGCAGCAAGCCCTGCATTGTTGCTTTTGTAATGATCACAGATATTTGAAACTGAAATTTTGGCTGGCTGAATTTACCCACGATTTTAATGTAACTGAATCTGTAAGGTATTGGAAAATCAATGCTAATCAGTCATAGATATCAATTGCATCACCACTGAGAACTCAGATGAATTTGAGACATATACAAAATTCAATTTCGATTCTGGATGTATCGCGAACCATAATCCAGACGCAGAGTCAGATGGTTACCAAAGCAGTGTCATCCCAACCTTTGAATTAAATCCCCTCTTTTTCCCCAAAATTGGTCGCGAAAATTTTTAAGTTCTAATATAAATTGTAAAACTCGCAGGTGACTTGTTTCACTCAAATAACCAGGATAACTTCTATCAAGGAACTCAAACTAGCCTTTGGTGTAACTGTTACGAACTGTGTAGTCTTGAAGTGAAGATCTTCTAAGCTGTTTTTTTTTTTCTGCAAAAGCAAACTGATAATACCTAAGATTGAGAGATAAAATTTACCCTAATGAAGAAACACAGCGAAAAAACTTACACATAGCAAACATCAAATTCTGTGACAAGGAAATTTGGTATTGAACTTTACTAATTTTTCAACAGTAAATAGATCTGCTGCTATGGCTTTACCAAAACTTAATTCAAAAAAACCATGCAAATCCTAGTATGTGCAAACTTATGAGTTATGTATTGAATGTAGTGTATACTAGTGTTCGCAGCCTCATGTGCAAACTGAACAGTATTTTATCACAAATTCCTCTTTGCCTTCATAATGTTGATTTTCAGCACCCTTGAAGACACCCACTCAACCAGTCCCAAGACCTCGAAAACTCTCGCTGCAGGAGTCCTATTACTCAAAGCAAACTTCAAGGGAACTCTGATGACAACTTCAGTATTTATGTAAATAAAGCGATTTTATGAACTCAACTTTCAATGATGTGTGCTGATAAGGACTGGTCGCAAGAATGTGACTAAAGCAACAGAATTTTCATTTATTGCCTTGAAAAACAAGCCCTTTGGCGTAGAAGCTGTAATTAAAGGCTGTGTACAACTAACCCAAAGGAACAATTCCACCGATAATCAGAGAGCACGCGACATAGAGAAACGCAGACGGCGTCGCGGGCGCGGGCGCAAGCGACTTTGACTAGATCGCGAAGACCCGCCTTGCAGCCGCCAAGCTGGCTGAATTAAAGGTTACAGTATCTCCTAATCTTTCAAGCACTCGTTCAGCTCTTCGTCTCAGTATTCGAGGGACTGCTTTTGCATCTAATCTGTTGATCGGGGCGATTTTGTTCTAATACAATCTATGGTACTTGATCAGGTGGTAATATAGAAAGCCAAAGAAACAGTGGATGTTCAGTAAATGTGCCCACCCTTAGCTGTTAAAGCGCTCATAATCCCACTACTAAAGTCAAGTGCAGAAGGAAAGTCTCATACATCACTGCAAGACAAAACAGAGTATACAGCGTCGATTTATCCGTAACTTGACATGCATAATGCACAAGACGCGCGCTAATTCACGAGTTCTAGTTAAAAGCTGTAGGTTTTAAAGAATTTCTCCTTGTTTTTTTTTTCACTCTTTTGATTCGATGGATATGCATGAGGTGTTGTAGTACACATCTCAGCATCTCTCAATTTGTTCCGCGAGAAAAGCTCCTCTGATGAATTACCAGTGACGTGCCGTCGGTTGTCGCGCAGTGTGCATTCACATACTGAGCTACAAATGACTCGCGCATATTTGATGTACCCCAAAATCTTACCGATAAGTCCGCTTTTTTGACCCAGATAAGGCCCTTTAGATAGGTCCGCCCTACAGATAAGGCCGTTTTCTTTCCATTAGGAGTACCCTTAAATCTTTGCAAAGTCCGAAGACTGTGATAAGTCCGGATTTATCTGCAGACGAACTTACCCGAACTTACCTTATCTGCGAGATTTTAAGGTAGATAAAAATAAAGCGCCAGAATTGAGGTGCGGAGAAGAAAGTGAAAATTAGACAGAGGTTGTCGCCATGTGTTTCCGTTCGCTCAAATAAAAGAAAAAAATACATTGGCCAAAAAGAATCCTAAAACAAAAAAGAATTCTAGTGAAGACAGTCTAACATGCAACTGTGTAGTGTATTTTTCTGCACTATCACCCAGTGCACATGGCGCCATTCAACACTCGTTTTTATCAGGCGGCATCAAAGAATTGTCTGGAACGGAACTCTAAAAAGTTGGCTGACGCATAGGCTTAGAGGGCAACCTTTCTGGAAAAATTTGGCGGATGATTCATTCATTTGTATGCATTCAACTATGATCTATGACTTGAAATTGTGCGATTGTGATTACGAAACACAACATTGCTGTGTCAACTGTGTTGCATCAATAAGGAAAAGAAAACATTATGATTCCGTTACGTTAATGCAAGCTTTCCATCAAAATGACATAAATGTTACGAAATTGCCATACTCTTCCATCGGCGGAACAATGACCTTCAAACGCAGTCGCTGGTTTCGCCGATCAGTGCACGGCTGCAGTAAATCGAATGCGCATACGAAGATTTGAACCTACACAAATTTGAACTGCTTTGTTTGAAATAAAGGAAATGGAGATAATCGCAGAACTTTTAGAAAGAAAATCGTGTGGAATTATAAATTGTGCTATTCCGGGTATAACAGCACTATGATGAAAATTACCACAATTTAGAGGATATTTTAGGCCCAAAACCCGATTAATGATAATGTCGACAATTTGAATGCTTCTGCATCAAATAGTCAGGGACCCGTCATACTTCGCCGAAAAAAGCCCAAAAAAGCCAGAAGAAGCCCGAGAAAAGCCCAAAAAAGCCCGAAACAGCCGGAACGTCCCCTCCGTTTTGACGCTAAGGCATTTCGCAACCGATTCTTTTTGCTTAATTTTCTGTCTTCTGCACATCACAATAATACCAGAATTCTATCAAAAGTTCGTTTCTGCGTTCCGGCTCTTTCGAGCTTTTTCCGGCTTTTTTGGGCTTTTTCCGGCTTTTTTCGCCAAAGTGTGACGGTTCCCTTACACTTTCGCTACAACTTTGTCACATAGATATGGTGCATTTCCTAGAATTCAATATGAACCATCATCGTGGCTGTTTTTTGATTTCAACACGTTAAGGTCGGATAAGCGCCTTAAATTTTTTGGAGTTAACGTGTTAAAGCGATCGAAAGGCAGCCAAGTTGATGGTTCATATGGGAACTATTCTGGGATATGCACGATAAACACGTTTGCATCACCAATTTACAAACATAAAAACTCATCCTATACGAGTCAAAGCAAAAGCCTGACAAGTAAATAATAGAAGCAGGAAGGATAAATCACCCATTGATTGACCCCAATTACTAGGGCTCAATATTACTGACTTTTTGATACTAGTTTTCACATCCTCATACTTTACAACATCCAAACAATAAAAGAGACGAAAGTCTCCGATTTGTAATAAGGGAACGATGTAATGGTTGCATTTCCTATCATTGAGCAACTTCTTTAAACCAAATACGACCGAAGTTTCAAACTGCTGCCTTTGCTTCCAGCAAAATAAAACAGAACCTATAGAAAGAGGGCAATTTGTCGCCGCAAACATCAACTTAAGTCTTTTTAGTGTAAATTTTACGTAAACTGCAAGCCTCAAACGATCATGCCAGTGTTCATTGAGGGAAATTCATCAAAGTAGCAATTTCCTGCCAATCTAATCTTCCTACTTTATCTACTTCCTTATCTATCAAAATATAATAATTCAAAAGCAAGGAGATCATGCAGAAATCGGCTCACATTCAAAGTTGAAAGCACATCCCAAGAAAGAAAGAACTCACTAGATGATGCCCAAATTTCCCCACATTTCCATCTTCGTAATAATCCATGTTATTCCATCGCTGCGCCTGCAGTGCAGTATCGACCGAGGTATTTTCGAGAAGGAAACTGCATGGCGCCATGCACAAACACGTCAGCGCACCGAATTTTCTCGAAGTTTCGCGCCTTTACAAGTCCTTTGAATCTGCACATGTTCTACGTAAGCACTTCTCCTCTAAAAAGTTTTCGAAGCATAACACTAGACAGTGGCCGCCCAGCAGGCTTCGAGTGTGTTCCAGAATCGTCCGCGATGAAGCATCGGCCCAAACATCATCGGAGGCGTGTCGAAATCGCGGGGCGGGCGCAGTAAACGCGCTCCATTCTACATCTTTCCAGAACGTTCTTCGAACGCGAATATATAAACACCCCCCGGCCGCATCGACCACATTACTTCGCCTTCTAGCTTTGGTAAGTGAGGTTGCTCTACCTCACTTCTTCATACTAGTAGTTTGCTAACAGTACTACAGTACAGTGCTAACAGTTCAATCTAATTTACGCATTTGTCGCTTTTCTGAAATGCCTGAGTCTCCTTTATTCTTTCAAATTGAGCTTGTTTTTGACTTTCTGGGGTGTTCGATTTGGGAGATTGGCTTGCTGGGGTGTTCGAGAGTGTTCGGGTTCAAGTGTTTTAGTTTCCAGATTCTCTTTTAATTTAAAAGAGTTCTTCTTCTTTTTCACTTCGTTGAAATGTTACTCCTGTCTCATGCGGGGATCTTCTTCTTGTTGTGAAGAGCTGAATCAGTTATGTGGTTCTCTTAATTTGTGTGTCGACCTTTCCATGATAGACCGACATAGCACATGCTTTTGTAGGACTCAAATAAGCACGTAATTTTGAAATCTAGCGTTCTCTGTGTTCTTTAACCCTAGCAGTAGCGTGCATTAGGACCTAATCATTCTTTGCTTGCTAATAGTGACAATTGGTCTCTGCAAGTAAACTTCTTTGTCTGGTATGAGTCATTCTTTTCCGATTGCTCGCTGCAAGTGGTTGGCTTTTTTTCTATTGCGATAATTCTGCGAAACCTTCCAGTCGTTTCCGTAATTCGTGCATTGTTCGAATTTGTTCGATTTTAAATGCACCCACTAATTCATGTCTTTGTAGCTACCATGACGAAAGTCAACGCAGTCGGAATCGATCTCGGCACCACCTATTCGTGTGTGGGTGTCTTCATGCACGGAAAAGTGGAAATCATTGCCAATGATCAAGGTGTGTTCTTTTCTTGGCGAAAGGACATTTTGGCTCGAAGTTCGTGAAAAATGAGTTTGCGTTTACAGGAAATCGTACTACGCCTTCATATGTTGCATTTACTGATACCGAGCGTCTCATTGGAGATGCTGCCAAGAATCAAGTGGCCATGAACCCTCACAACACCGTATTCGGTAAGTATCACGATCCATTGTTTCTTTTCGACGTTTTTCCTTGCGAATTGAATTTTCATTCTAGATGCCAAGCGACTTATCGGACGTAAGTTCGACGATCCAGCCGTACAGTCCGATATGAAGCACTGGCCCTTCAAAGTCATCTCAGCCGAGGGATCTAAGCCCAAGGTGCAAGTCGAATACAAGGGAGAGACCAAAGTCTTCACACCAGAAGAGATCTCATCCATGGTCTTAACGAAGATGAAGGATACCGCCGAGGCCTTCCTGGGATCACCGGTCAAGGTTAGTGTCGTAAAACTCTTATTTCGGTTTTGGATTTGGTTCCTTTCTCTAGAGTTACGTTCTACGAAGCTTGTCCATTGTTTCTAAACTGTTGTTTTTAGGACGCCGTCATCACTGTCCCCGCTTACTTCAACGACTCACAGCGACAAGCTACTAAGGATGCCGGAGCGATCTCAGGAATGAACGTACTTCGAATCATCAACGAACCCACTGCCGCCGCTATCGCCTACGGACTCGACAAAAAGGGACAAGGAGAGCGCAATGTCCTCATCTTCGATCTTGGTGGCGGTACCTTCGATGTCTCCATCCTGACCATCGAGGATGGAATCTTCGAAGTAAAATCTACCGCTGGAGACACCCATCTTGGAGGAGAAGACTTCGACAACCGAATGGTCAACCACTTCGTCGCCGAATTCAAGCGAAAGCACAAGAAGGACCTCAACACCAATCCCCGTGCTCTTCGTCGTCTCCGCACAGCCTGCGAACGCGCAAAGCGTACCCTGTCATCGTCATCCCAGGCTTCCATTGAAATCGACTCACTGTTCGAGGGAATTGACTTCTATACTAACATCACTCGTGCCCGTTTCGAAGAGCTGTGCGCTGATCTCTTCCGTTCCACCATGGACCCCGTGGAGAAGTCGCTGAGAGACGCCAAGATGGACAAGAGCCAGATCCACGACATCGTTCTTGTCGGAGGTTCCACCCGTATTCCGAAGGTCCAGAAGTTGTTGTCTGATCTCTTCTCCGGAAAGGAACTGAACAAGTCCATCAACCCCGATGAGGCCGTCGCCTACGGTGCAGCGGTACAAGCCGCTATCCTTTCTGGTGACAAGTCTGAAGCTGTCCAAGACCTGCTGCTTCTGGATGTGGCTCCTCTCTCGCTTGGTATCGAGACCGCCGGAGGTGTGATGACCGCTCTGATCAAGAGGAACACGACCATCCCCACCAAGACCAGCCAGACCTTCACCACATACTCTGACAACCAACCTGGTGTACTTATCCAAGTCTTCGAAGGAGAGCGTGCGATGACCAAGGACAACAACCTCCTAGGAAAATTCGAGCTTTCCGGAATTCCGCCAGCACCTCGAGGAGTACCCCAGATCGAGGTAAGAAATGCAAAAATTACTTCGTTAGTATTCAGTCGCAATTGCGGACATCCTTGGCTAATATCTTTTTCTTTAGGTCACCTTCGATATCGATGCCAACGGTATCCTCAACGTTTCTGCCCAAGACAAATCCACTGGCAAGCAGAACAAGATCACCATCACGAACGACAAAGGACGCTTGTCCAAGGTGAGTTGAATAAACATCGCCTCGTATGGCTGGAATGAACTGTTGAAATTATAGGACGAAATCGAACGTATGGTTAATGAAGCTGAGAGGTACAAGAAGGAGGATGAGGCCCAGAAAGATCGCATTGGAGCCAAGAACTCGCTTGAGAGCTATGCTTTCAACATGAAGCAGACACTTGAGGATGAGAAGGTTGGTTACTATATTTTTTTCTCGTTAGACTTCAGCCTATCGGTTTTAAGGGTATTTCAATCTTGGTTGAAACTTATTTATCAACTCTTCTTTTCCAGCTCAAGGATAAGATCTCTGCTGATGATCGCAAGAAGATTGAGGAGAAATGTGACGAGGTCATCAGATGGCTCGATAGCAACCAGACTGCCGAGAAGGACGAGTTCGAGCACCAGCAAAAGGAACTCGAGTCTGTTTGCAACCCGATCATCACGAAGATGTACCAGTCCGCCGGAGGCGCTCCCGGCGGCATGCCCGGACACCAAGGTGGCGGTTCATCCAACGCTGGAGGACCAACCATCGAAGAAGTCGACTAAATCATTGTTGATCTCTCTAATAATCACGAGTCGAAGATCTGGGTCGGGCTCTCGTGAAGCTCTTGTATTTTAGTTTTGTGTAAGATATTAAAGTAATAAATATCCTGTTGTACTTTCTCGCATGCATGTTGTAGAAGAAGTGTTTTTTATAATGAATCTGTCGTAAAGTTGAAGCGTACCATGTACAGGATCGAGACTTTGTGGTTTGTAAGACACAAGTACCGGAAATACAAGTTCGTGAACGGCGCAACTGCCTAAGTCCAAAAAAAGGTTCTGCATATGTCGGGTTCAAAATGGACTCTGAGGTCTTCGTGTCTCAATCAATAGATTGATACCAACTACCCGTCGGAATTTTGTATCAACACCAAGGTGTTGGTGCAGTGAAGAACTTACTCAGTGGTCAAGAAGGGAGCAGAACTATAAAACTTCAACCGGATGTATTTCATGCTGTGCAGAAGGGTTCGCTTAATGGAACTTCAAATTCAAGCAAATTGGCGTAGAAGCTTTTGTGTAGACACAATGAAAGCGTTGCTTCCTGAATCAAAACCTTCATAAGGTCAACTTCACATAAATAATTATTAATCTTGTCCATACATACAAACATATAGTATCAAAGATCATGACATCAATCTCTTTCAATGTATCTTCTTCTGCATTCTGGATGCTTGTGGTTGAGCATGTACAGCCTAAATACTGAGAACTTGCGTATTTACGTATTTTTCGTCAAATTTTCAACAAAATAAAATTCTCCCAATGTTGAGCAACCAGTTTTTCACATTCCAAGCTTTTTTGACTTACTAAGCTTGTGTTTTTGTAAAATGTTGTTGGTATACACAAGGGCGCTTAAGATTCCCTTCCCCCGCTAGTTTTCTGAGATTTCTCACCTTTTGTGACCAAACATTGTATCAGCAACTAATGGCATGTATCGAGCTTCTTCCAGATTTTCGAAGAAAAAGTCGAAAAGAATATTGACTTTTGTGCGTAATTCGGATTATGAATCTCAATGTTTATCTGAAAGGACAGGGATTTTGCGCACGCAGTACTTATGATACCAATTACTATTCACTTGACATATGACAACATTTGCGTTTTCAATATCACCGCTTTTGAGCAGGAACGGTAGAACAGCGTATTCATCCCATTCGATATCGATCATCAGCTGGTCGATGATCTAGATGGACATTAGAATTTTCTCCCTCTCTGATCTACCTTTCTGTGGCCTCGCTCTCGCCCTCGTTTGTCTTTCGAAGTATCTGGGCAAAGAGAATCATGGATCCATCTCATACCCTCAATCCTTGTTTTGACTGGGCATGAGATAATGATGCACTTTTCATAAGTCAGACCTTCTTTATACTTCTACCACCACACTGGTCATTTTGACTTCTTCAAAGACCGCCTGTCACCATATTCGTCCAAGGAATGCCCTTGTATAATCTGAGACCTTTCGAATAGAATAGTACCTGCTTTTGGATAAAACTGCGCAGAAATGTAGCGATGTCGACATGTCTCACTCTGCGAACGCGGTAGTTTCCAGCTAAAATAGTGGAGATCCATTTCAGAATCATAGAGGGTGAATAAATCTAGTGATGGACCTACTATCTGGTTCTAGAACGGTGGCCTGTGATGTACCGTTTTTTCCACCGACTGCGATGTGGAAAAATTCTCCAACCTAAAAAGGTTTGTTAGATTTTTTTCTGCAGTATGTCCTCACAATTTTTTCTGCATTGAAAACTGCACATATTTGATCAAATAAATAGTTAGGAAAAAAGAGAGTACTTGAAGCTCCAAATTTTTTCGAGTAATTAATTGCGCGATCCTACGTTACAGTTAGAGGAGAACGTACTAAGTTTATAATAATATAAGCATTTTTGGGCCGCAAAGTTTAGATTTACTCAGAACCTACAGTCTGTATCAATTACTTTTCCTTTTGCCTAGTAACTACCAGCGCATACGCGACGCGTAGCTCTGGCGCGGCGATTGCGCGGGTGATAGGGGGAGCACGCGATTGACACAGACCGTGAAATTTCTATGTTGAGACGAGGGTATCTGGTTAAAGGTTCGATTTCCTTTATTCATAAACGAAAACAGAATTATTTCGTGGTTTACTTTCAAGATCAGGTATGCCGAGTTACTCGACATTTAATATGTGAGCTTGCACACAAAGTGTTGGAACGGACGGCACCCTTACCAATAACTCCTGAATAAAACCATTTCTAGCCTTACAGACTGTAAAGTGTATACCACTGACTAATAGATATCCAGTCGAACAAAAAATGCAAAAAAAAACTTCTAATCTTATTGGTTCGTCAAATAGCGCGCAGTGTGCAGCTTGCATGTTGAGTTACAAATGACTCGAGGACAGCTTGCCTATGGAAAGATCTTTTGTTTACGGTCACTCACTTGTTCGAACATTTCCTGGTTTGGTTCCCTAATAGGGTCGGCGCCATAAAACGAACACAAGGGCATATCTTTTTTCATCTTGGTTTCGGCCGCCACATCACGACCGACTCCCAGCGAAACTATCGAACACGCGTACTCGCTCAGAAATGCCTGCAAAGCAAATTACAAATGGTTGCATAAATATGTTGTGAACAAATGAAAAAGAGGTATTTACGTACGACTTCGCTTGGCATCACGTGTATCTTAGTTTCGTCCAGATTTCTATAGCCTCGAATTCGGAGAAATCGTCGCTCGGAACACTGATTGATGATCATTGGAATTTTACTCCATAACTACAATGAATTTTTTGACTGAGCATAAGTGGGCTGTATGAGTGTCGAAAAAGTCTCGTACCTCTTTTACTTCCATGCTTTCTGTTCGTGACTGTAAGCACTTCGCATTTCTTTCAAATATGTAGGACACATCCTTAAAAGATTAGATGATTTTGAAGAACTGCCGAGCTTCTGTTTCACTAGGCAATAGTTTTCGATAGTGGCGCAGGCAGTTTTTTGACGCATGTGAAACATCTTCGTCATTTCACGTATATGTCTAAGGGTGGTTGATGAACATGCAGCGAAATTTTTGACATTGTGAATGACTATATTTAGCTAAGATTCTTATGGGAAGGCATCTTCAACCTTTGCTATCAATATCAAATATTCAGAAGGTTCTATTGGTAATAAATGGGTATCACGCCTAGTATGCCTTCTAAAAAATCACTTTTTTCAACTGTTTGCTGTTCGTTTTCATTCTGTGGTCGTATTCATCAACGAAACCCGTAGGTTTCGGAACCCACTGGGTTAGTGCTTTTGATGAATATCGGTTCTTCCCTGGAGTAGAATCGATATTCATCAAAAGCACTAAGCCAGTGGGTTCCAAAACCCACGGGTTTCGTTGATGAATACGGCCACTGGAACTTGATAGCTTGGTAACAAATACAAGTGTACATACAAGGATACATACAAGCTTTCTGTGACAGACTGTAACAGTATGTAAATATTGTCAAAAAATATGAGAGTACCCTAACATTACTGTGCTGAACAGCTTTTGGGCATTGGAATGGCTGAATTTTTACTGTCTATGGCATGCAAATGGTGCAAATCTTAGAATCTTACGTTTGCGTACCAATACCAACTAATTTTACCAAACCCAAATTGATTTCGGTTTTTGTAACATGAGTTTTTGAAAATGTGTTGGAAAAATCCAGGTTTTCGATTGGTTGATTCGTGTTTTCTCAACAAAAAAAAAGATAACTGGAATGATATCCACGAAAGTCCCCGCGAAATGGGCTTTTCGTACGAATAAAATGGACTTAGTCCAGCGGTGCGATAAGATATCGCATGCGCGAATCCATTCATTCCATACAAAACTTCTTCAGCAAACCTTTCTCCAACTTGCTTCAACCTGTTTGCTCACTCTTGCAAACTCATTTCCATCAAGTGGTCGGTAAACTAACTAGGGCTGACTAACATTACAATGACAATCACGTGGATATTTTATACCATTTATTATCTATGCTGTGCGTCTAAATACTTCCATTCACCCGAAATACAGTGCTGGCCATAGCTATAAAGCCACCCTAAAAATCACCGTAATTTGCTCTCTCTTGCTCATATTTGTCTGAAAAACCACTATTCTGTGCGCAAACTAACGTCATACCATTGACCAGAACGGCTCCTGATTTCATGGATTTTGGCCGGAGAAAAATTGAAAATTTGAAAAAACGGGTTTCAAAGGCTGGTCACAGCTATAAAGCCACCTCTCATTTTCAATCAGTACTACGTTTTTTGAATCTCAAATTTTTTGCACATATACAACATCAAAATATGAAACATTTTCACACTTGAAAGGAGTCGCCTTTCAAAAAGAAGATTTGTACTGCATTTTTTGCTCTAAATTGCATAATAACTCACATTATTTGCAAAAAAATTGCTTTTTCACTAAATTTTGAAGCACTTATTTGACTCGGATGAACGTCCTAGGATTTGCTTAGCCTTTGCAATGAACGAGGTGAAAAGTGCTGAACTCAACATTGCGTAGTCGCTAGTCTTGGTAAACGAGCCTCACCTTACCGAGGTGTAGGCGCGCTTCTGAGGCGCAAAACTAGATTTCTGACACGCGAAAACTTTTGGTTGGAAGCTGACACCTTGTCTGCATGGCGACGTACTCATGCAGAAGCCGCCAGGTTTTTTTGCAAAGATCTATTTGCCGCAATGAAGTTAGAACGCTTTGTCTGCAGTTCGGTTGTGCGCAGTGTATCTCACAAACTTCAAATTTCACTGCTTTGAACTCCTCATCTATTCAAAACTTACTAAACTGTCAGGAATAGAAGGATTTTGAACTTCTGAGCGGTTTTCCGCTCGATCGAGGTGGTTAGAGTGGATCATGATCAGACGGAGTGCACCACTCATTTTTGGAAAAAAGGCGTCCAAAGCGGAACCAGAGTCCTCAGAGTTGCGATGACGTACAGGCTATGCACACGAGTCTGTCGTTATACAAGCGACGTGCTGAGCACGCGACAGAGCTTTTCGGGCATTAGAACTCAATTTCTGCGGTTCGAAAACTCGTCTACCTGGAGGTGAGGTTGGGGCTCGTTTATCAATTTCAGCGACTACGCAATGTTAACTCAAGCGCTTTTTGCCGTATTCATTGCAAAGGCTCGGCAAAGCATAGGGCCTTCATCCGAGTCAAACAAGTGCTTCAAAATTCAGTGAAAAAGCAATTTTTTGCAAATGATGTGACCTGTTATGCATTTTAGAGCAAAAAATGCAGTACGAATCTTTTTTTTGAAAGGCGACCCCTTCCAAGTGTAACAAATGTTTTGTGTTTTGATGTTCTATATGTACAAAAAATTTGAGGTTCAAAAAACGCAGTACTGATTGAAAATGAGAGGTGGCTTTATAGCTGTGACCAGCCTTTGAAACCCGTTTTTTCAAATTTTCAATTTTTTTCCGGCCAAAATCCATGAAATCAGGAGCCGTTCTGGTCAATGGTACGACGTTAGTTTGCGCACAGAATAGTGGTTTTTCAGACAAATATGAGCAAGAGAGAGCAAATTACGGTGATTTTTAAGGTGGCTTTATAAATATGGCCAGCACTGTACGTGTAACTTCTGGGCCTTTGCTTTTCAAGACTTCTATGAATCTGCATTGAATCAAATATGTATGCAGAGCTTTCTGCAGAAAGCAAACTTCGGCTAGACTTGCACTGCAATCTGTGATTCAGAAAGCTTACGCCATGGGAAATCCTTGCACCACACTACAACCCAAAAGATTTTTTAAGTCGAAAAGACTGAATCTGCAAAACGATGACTTCGCAAATGTTCTACTTTAGCCCTTCTTTGTCTCTCAGCACTAATGTTTGTCTAACATTTATGTTTGTTTCTTTCCTCTAAATAGTTGACTGTATGGACTACTGCTAGTAAGATTTCACGGAATTTTTCTTGCTAGCTATCGCCATTTCAATAATTCTCGCGACCAAACTCAGAATCGCGTCAATGCTGTCTTTGAGGTTCGATTTTACGAGATTAGTCAAAAGATAGCTTCTGGGTTATTATATTGAAACGCAAATTTTTTCCATTTTCAGATACAAACCATGAATTTAGTTTTGGTTGATGATTTGAAGAATTAACAAACTCCACTTGATTTACATTGGAATTTTCGCATCGACCTGATATTTGGAAGCATTTGATTTTGTGTTATCAAATATTTTGGTGAATTTAACCTTCTTCCATGATTTTTATAGCGTTTGTATGAGTTTAGAAAGAAACACCTATTTCAGACTTCATATGAGACATAAAATTTCTTCCACTTACTTGTTACCTTAGAATGGGCTAAAGAACACATTCTCAAAAATTCGCCATTGAAAATATGCAAAAAGGTCAAAAATGGGCTTAGTCCCAGCTCACATTGCTGCTGGGAGTAAAATGGGCTTTCAAGTCCATTTAAAATGGAGGTAAATCCCATTTTGCCCCATTCTAAATGGACTTTTCGCATGATTCTTTCGCAAGCGATAGCTGAAGTAGGGTTGAATCATTTTCATCACACCGCTTTGCCTCGTGGTTGCGATGAGATAAAAATTCTTGGATAACGCTAGCGAAAGTCCGACCAATTTCTACCGCGAAAGAATAAAATGGGGTTTAGAAGTCCATTTTCCTCCATTATGGACTTTCGTGGATATAATTCCTGGACTCATATCCACGAAAGTCCATAATGGAACTTACGAGTCCATTTTATTCGTTCGCGTTAGAAAGTGGTCGAAATCGGCTCCCGCTTACGATATCCAAAATTTTTCATCCCATCGCAATCGCGAGGCAAAGCGGTGAAATGAAAATGATTCAAGCTTACTTGAGCTATCGCTCGCGGAAGATGACGTCAAAAGTCCATTTTAGAATGGGGCAAAAGGAGTTCACCTCCATGTTCATTCTCTCTCACCTTTCTGATAAGCCCATTTTACTCCCAGCAGCCAGATGTGCTGGGACTAAGCCCATTTTTGACATTCTTGCATATGTTTGATTGCGATTTTTTGAGAATATGTTCCCTAGCCCATTTTAAGATAGTAAGCGAACGGAGAAGGTTTTATATTCTTTAGAAGGGCCAAAAAAATATCTTCTCCAAACAGCCTTGAAATGCTTTGAAAATCATAGAAAAAATTTTTTCATAGACAGTTGAGACAGACAGACAGACAGACAGACAGACACAAGGACGGCAATTCAAAATTCGCGATTTTGAGTTTGGTAGCAAGGAGTACTGAAGTACCGTTAGCAAGTCAGAATATTCTGTGAAAAATTTCTTACTAGCTTTAGTCTATACATTAGTCACTTCTTGTTCTCGTATGGAAATATAAAAAAATCGCGATTTACCAAAATTAAACAAGTCATTTTATAGAGAAAATCGTCTCGATACGTCATTTTGTCACCGAAAACACTTTTCAATACCCAAAACGTCGAAGCGAACTCTGTTTTATTTTCGAATATAGAGCATCACATTAGGGTTGAGAAAAAGAGGTTACCTGATTGATACTGGATTATGCGAGAGCTTTTCCAACAACCGGTTAATTTGAATTCTGTTCAAAATCTGTAATAAGGTTGGCAATAGCTAAAGGCATTGGTTCAAGCATTCCCTATATGCTGAGACGGATATGAGTCCGCTTTGCTTCAGTTGTTCGTAACACTTCCCCTAAGCAACTTTGATTATCAAAAGCACATATGACTTGGGATCAGAGTATATGCCTAGATAAGTTCTAAACGTAAAATTGAATTCAGTGACTTTGTCATCATTCTAATATCCACCCCTCAAACTCACACAGTTCATGCAAGAAAAGCAGCCTCATATATCGAACGCCATATTTGCATGAAAGTTTTGGGGTTGCTAAAGTACAGCATGAGAAGCCATCAATTTTTTGCAGATCCAAAGTTCTTCCAGCTTAAAAGCCTTTGTGTTGTAGTGTAGTACAAGGTTTTCTGTGAGATAAGCATTTTGATTCACAAATTGCAATGCAAGTCTAGCCAAAGTTTGCTTTCTGCTGGAAACTCCACATACGAATTTGATTCAATGCAGATTCATAGGTTTTGAAGAGCGAATGCCCTGATATTACTTGGATTTTAGATGGACTGAAACTAATTTAGATGCATAGTCATAGTTAATAAATGGCATTCTCTGAGGTGTAATGAAATGGAAAAGAACGGAGTATCCACGTGACTGATATAATAACGTTAGATCAGTCTAGATATCGACCACTTGGTGGGAATGAGTTTGCAAGAGTAAGTAAACAGGTTGAGGCAAGTTGAAGAAAGGTTTGCTGAAGCATTTTTGTATGGAATGAATGGATTCGCGAACGCGATATCTTATCGCATCGCAGGGACTAAGCCCATTTTATTCGCGTTTCATTCGCGAAAAGCCCATTTTCAAATGGACTTTCGTGGATCATTCCTGGTGTCATGAGTACTCAATTAGCATGATGGTTTCGACCAATTTACTACCAATCTTGGTTTTCACATTTTCCTACATTCCTATAGGGCTCCTAAATTGCAGAGTCGTTTGCACCACCGGTCGCGCGCCCGCGTCGCGCCCGGGCATTTTGCCGGCTCCGGCGCCATCGATCGAGGTGGCGCCATTGATGCCCGGACGCGACGCGGTAGCGCGACCTCTGGTGCAAACGACTCTTTAGGAGCCCTTTACGTCATTTCGTAATAAACAGAAAAAATGATTTCTGCTTCAATTCTCCGCATACTCTTTATAGAGGAATTTTTCTGAAACACACAAGTCGTCAAAACGGCCAAGATTCTCTCTAGCCAATTGAATACTTTTTCCTGTATTAAGATGATTATCATTTCCTCATCACTGCTTACAAATTTCATATTTTCGATTTTTGCTGATATATCGTTAGTCCAGAGTTGTAAACAGGGAAAAAATGAAAGAAATTTTAGCGTTTACTATTATTGGTGTCATGCATCTCATTGAAAAGGCGATAAGTTGTTTTTGAATTAGATGTCTGATATACATTAAGCTTACCCCTCTGGTTGTTGTACTTGCTAAAACAGCATAGATGATTACTGCGATATAGACCATATGTGGAGGACAACATGAAGTTAGCGTATCGGATTCGTAGGATGTCTCCCGTTCTTCATGGGCAATTGATATAACATGCACAGTTTCTGATGGTAAATCTGGAATGGATCTGCTCAAACCTCACTCCATAGTAGAACTGATTTATCCCTGGAGGAGCAAAAAGTCTTCTTTTTCATCCCATAGGAATCAAGTCCAAAAATTTGCAGTTTGAGTTTTAGAACGCTAGATAACTCTTTTGCTACACAAATTTTTTAGGTCAATTTTTTGCGAAAGGTAGATAAGGAAAGTGATGATTGCAGTATTCCTCAGCCGTTTTCTTTTCATATGTCCCAAACGTATTCTACTCTCGCATTGCAAGATTGAGTAGGTCAGTATGGATGGGTCAATAGCAGCGGCTATGATTTTTTTGGGGGGAGGGGGGAGGGAAGTGTGTGCGGCAGAATTTTTTTCTTCATTAAAATGGGAGTGGGTGCGGCAGAATTTTTTTAAGAAGAGAGGTGGGTTAGCTACACCCTCTGTGAAAGTTCTTGGGAAGCTCAAAGAATGGACAATCGATTGGGTTTCTAAGAATAAATCATTTTGAGACTTAATTTATAAATGTCATGCTGTCTGACATTTACAAATGACATCTTATTTTGAACATTATTGGGTTAAATGCGCACATCTACCCATGCCTTTTTGTTGTTTGAATCCCTGCTCTATAAAAATGGTTTAAGAAAATCAAAGAGGGAAATGAGACTGAAAAGAACTAGAAAACGAAGGGAAGCCTCAAACCGGATAAAAAGCTGCAGGATTCTTTAAATTTTTTTTGGCGTTAATCGCTTCGGGATCACCTTCCCAACAGGAAGAGGGAAAAAACTATTTTTTTGCGATACTCTCTGATAAACAGAAAAGAATATCCTTTCAAAGCGAAGGAATTGTATATTTTTTAGATTGGAGTTAGGAGTTTTTCAAGCGGACCTATTCACATTTAGACATGCCCAAACGAGACTTCACAAATCTGAAAGATGAATCATAGAGTGATAGTGATACGATACCGCAATTCTCTTCTTCGCTTCCTTATGAAAAATTCATCATTCAATTGCGAACCTTATAGGTTTGTAAAATAAAGCTCCGGTTCAAAAATCTCGGAACACTCTGGAGAAAAATTTGATAAAGTCCCCCTAGCGGCATGACTAACGCCGCGCTAATTGGAAGATTTTTGATTTTCTTTCCCGAAAACCTCCCTATGACAGTCATTATACAGCCTTTTTGAAGATCTCAGTATCAATTCGACGCTCACCTTTGTTGTCCAGTAGCACTTCTGTGAGTGACTCTGGCATGACGAATGCTTGCACGAAAAATACAAAAGAATATGCACTTCAAACTAAATGAATATGCATAGTTGCTGTATGAATGACTAGAACATGTACTTACATAGAAATAGGGAAGAGCTATCGATCAGCGTTGAGACAAAGGTTGGTTATCCAAGCGCATCTCAGGTTCTCATATCTAACGACCGGATCGGCCAGTTCAGGTGCATCTGTTCCATTCCAAAATTATCAGGGCATTTTATTAAGTTGGTGCAAAAAAATTTCCGTTTTTCTAGGCCTAGTTTTCGCTTTCAGTTTTTTGGACACGATTCAGGCGCAAATGAACGAGTTCTTTTTTAAGCATAGCTAATGTATGGGATGAATATTGTTTACTTATTGCATGCTTGAGCAAATTTTTCGAAAATATTATATTTGAACCGAGAAAAACTGACGGCTCAAAATAGATACTCGCTGCCTGGCATTGTTGAAAAATATTTCCTGATCAAAGCAAAGCTCACCAGAGCTTCGCTTATTTCTGTATGCTTGAGGTCAGGAATCTTGCCCACAGTTTTTGCAGAAGGATAAAACATTCAGTGCATGACGAATTCCAAATTTCCACAGTTTGGGACTTTCTGGCTTACCACAAAGACTTTCTGGCTTACCACAAACAGGCTCAAAAAAGCTAACAATTCTGGATTTTTGTCATTATTTTGGCACCAATTTAATACTTTATAGATAGTATGTTTCTTTACCGGACATAATTTTTGAATCACAATCAAACTATGGGATAATTAGGGTTCCACAAGAACTGTCGATCACCAAACTTACTGATAGAGAAGATATTCTACTTTGAGCGGAATTTACGTATAACCGAAAGTTTTAAAATTTGTATCCAATCTACAACCATTGTGATTATGAATTTACTTTACGAAATACGCTAAAAACATTACTTTATTGCTTTTATTGCTTTGCAAACAAATAGGCTATCGCAAATGTCATTCTCTTTCATTGTTTGATAGTCGAAGCTGCGTCGTGTAAGGTGCAAAGAAGCACTGTTATGAATTTGAGAAAATGTTACCAAAATGCAGGTCCGGAGTCTATGGGTTACCGACACCCTCGGGGCCCATCCTCCATTGGCAAGACCATGACCGCTCACTCCCTATTTCTTCACCATCGCATTCCATCTACCCGAACAAGATAGTCGTGTAATTTCCACTATTTGAATGAAACATAACGCGTTCCGAGATGCAAAAAGGAAAAGCAGTGATCAAAAAGCAGGATAGGAATACGATACTTACAGAGAATATGCAACTCCTGTTTAGAGTCCTTTTGAAGAGCATTGAAAAACTGCAAAAAGTACGAAGGACTTTCACTAGAAGTGTTTAATGCAGATACTATTAAGATCCCAATAATCCTAAGTCTTTATGGCTTTTAATTCCTCGTAAGCAGCACCGCTAGATGGCTTAGCTATGCCACTGGAGACTTCTTACAGGTGTTCAGCTGGGTTTTGTTAGAAGTTGGCATCGGTAGATATGTTGCAAGTTTTAAATTATTTGTTTAGCACTCGATAGTGTGATACACAACATGACTCCTTTGCTTATGATTAACATACTTTTTCCTGATTTTTTTTTTGGATCGAGAACAGATTTTGTGATTTCTTTTGGCTAGAACAAATTGTGGCAAACTTGCGCTCGTCTCCGTGTTTGATGGCAACGGCCTCGTGTTAACGCCATGTACAGCCTTTGAGCCACAAATACTGATTGATTCTTTAGGTATATCCTGGTTTGGAGATCAAGCCGTGCATGTCGAACTAATCCCAAAGGAGATTCACTGATTATTTGTTTAAGTTTGTTGTTGCACATTAACGCCTTTTCTCTTTTGCTTCTGCTTCTCTTGGGCAGTTCTGATGTTCTCTCTGCTTGAAATATTTGTTCAAGGAGATTGAAGAGACCAGTGAGACCTTTTTCTTGACCCTTATACCTCTCGACCTAAGGTCTCCGACGGATTCGTCCGCTCAGAGTTAATTTGGTCAGCCGAGCCGAGCTGATTTCTGGCTTCCATACCGCGTTTGGTTGAAGGGAAGCATCTTGGAGGAGCTTCACTCATTTTTGGGTGAATGACCACGACTTTCGCAAAAGAAATGCGATGACTCTCGACATCGATAATCACAAGCAAAGAAGTCATGTTGTGTATCACACTATCGAGTGCTAAACAAATAATTTAAAACTTGCAACATATCTACCGATGCCAACTTCTAACAAAACCCAGCTGAACACCTGTAAGAAGTGATCTCCAGTGGCATAGCTAAGCCATCTAGCGGTGCTGCTTACAAAGAATTAAAAGCCGCAAAGACTTAGGATCGCTCTTAGTATCTGCATTAAACAGTTCCAGTAAACGTCCTTCGTACTTTCTGCAGTTTCTTCAAAAGGACTCTAAACAGGAGTTGCATATTCTGTGTAAGTGGTATTCCTATCCTGCTTTTTGATCACTGCTTTTCCTTTTTGCATTTCCAAACGCGTTATGATTCACTAGCTTGCTTACCCGGCTCCGCTCGGCCCTGGCAAAACACTGTAATAAAGTTCCCATCCTTGTCCCTGTAAAGCCTTTCCCTGTGCCCACTTCTACACTTCATTCCCCGTTCCCTGTGTTGTTTTCGAAATCAGCATGCCCACTTACCCCCCTGTGCCAACTCCCAGCCTCTAGCTCAAACTTGGCAAAAAATCGATAAAATCGATACTGATCGGTGACGAAAAGTAGCCTGACACACTCCCTGCCCCGAAGTGTATGTGTGCCAAGTTTGGTCCAAATCGGTTCAGAAATAAAATTTTCTATTCCGCACGTACGTACATACAGACAAACACACATTCAGCTTTATATATAAGAGGACGACTATCTTGGGTAGATGGAATGCGATGGTGAAGAATGGAGGGTGGGCGGTCATCGTTTCGCCAATGGAGGATGGGCCCCGAAGGTGTCGATAACCCACTGACTCCGACCTGCACTGTGGTAACATTTCCTCAAGTTTATAACAGTGCTTTTTCTTTGCATCTTACACGACGCAGCTTGCACTACCACACAGTGGAGGGGAAAAACATTTAGCGATAGCCCTGCATTCGCTTGCAAAGCGGCTATCCACATGATTTTGACGTGAAAATGCCCAAATAGTCGTTTTCTAGCCTTGATAAAGCCATTAAAAAAGTGCTTTGATCACGCAAAATGATATTTGTTTGTGTTTGTGTTTTTGTGATTCATGTTTTTGATGAGGGATAGATGATAGCAAAGTCATAATTTACGGGTCATAAGTTTGGGTCATGTTGAACACGGGTGTGTAAAGTGGATTCGAATTTTTACTGAATTATCGGATTATACTTATACTCAATTCAAAGTAGAAAATCTTCTTTATCAGTTAACTTGATGATCTTTTGTTTTCGTCTTTGGGCATGATAAAATATTTGATATTTGATATTTGATGCACATAAGTGCGCCATTTCAATCATAATGCATTAAGTGTAGACTATAAAAACAAAAAATCCAGTAGAATAGAAAAAAGAAGTTCAAATAGAAATGGTAGGAAGAAGAACGTCAAAACATCAAGAAAGATCGACATACTTTAACCGCAACACTATGGCATCATGTAGTTTGGGTCCAATCTGGATAAAAGTGTGATGAAGGCTTGTATTTGACTGCTCCATGATTATAATTATCAGAATAGAATAATGTGATCCATGGAGATGGACCCATGCCCCCCTTTTGTCAGCAAAATGATTTTGATTAACAAACAGCCAAGGTTTGATGGTGGCTGTACTTTTTGACTTCACCAGACCAGTAAGCCAGGGTGAGCGATGATTGTAAGTGAATTGCAATAAAGGTTGTAGTGAATGGGTAATTGATAAATGAGCGAGAAGAATCAAACTTGGTATCTGTTATCTGTGGAGAAGGCAATCATGCCATCTCATTTGCCAGCAGAAGCTCTTGCAATAATAAAATAAGCAAAGCGGGGCTCTGTTGGTGAGGTAATATTGATCAACCTTGCCCAAATGATTCCGGGGAGAGTCCAATGACTCCGAAAAAATATCAAATAGTTTCACTTCATGTAATTCGATTAGAAGCAAGTCAACAAGCTATATTGATTGAAAAAAGAAGCAAACTAATTAGACCTAAACTAACGTGACGGGAATATTGGGTTACTAAGACATATGAAAGAAATCAATATGAAAAAAAGAACAGAATTTGATGGTTGTATTTGGTATGCATGCCCTCCTATCTCCTTCACTGCATTGTGATTACGAATGTTTTTGCCAATAACAACTTCTTGAGTAATACCATTCACAGTAGGCTTGTCTACCAGTACAGCTGAAGGAAAGAAAGTTACTTTAACAAAGTATTACTGATTAAACAAAAATTGCTGCAAATCAACTTTCCTTAATTTTGATTTGAAACTAAAGCCGCAAATCGAACTGAGAATGCTCGAAGGTAAATGCTGTAATCATCTCGCTCCTTGGCAAAATAAGTTGTTGCACGTCAGCAAAAATTGTCTTCTTTTGATCCTGTTATAATGCAAACTGAAAGAAGGGGAGCGTGGACTGGTAGGCATAAAAACCCAGTACTTGCTTGCAGGAATCCTCAATTTTTTCCGTAGTACTCGAAAGCAAAAAACAAGATCAAAAATTTTTCTGCGTTGTTCTAAGCTTTTCATATTTAGTTCTGCAAGACGGTTAGGGTAAGACGGGACGGTAGCTCTAGTCATGCCTTTCCAACATTTGAAGTATATCAAACGTGTGAATGTTTGTTGAACTTTCTCTATCTTTCTGACATCTCCTTTCAAATATGGATTCCAAATCTGTGAACAGTATTCTAAATGAGGCAAGACAAAAGTTTTGTACAGTTTTTTGAATATGGCAGAATTTTGAGAATGTACAGATCTGAAAATAGCGTATAGTACATTATATGCTTTTTTGGACATCTATATGTTGAGAAAATTTGAGAGATGGTTCAATCATTACTCCCAGATCTTTCATCAGCTTACATTCTGCTAATGTGATTCCGTTAATTTCATAACTAGCTCCTTCACTTCTCCCGATATGCATGACCGCACATTTGTCAAGATTTATGGGAAGATCCCATTCATGTGACCAACGGAGCATTTTTTCGAGGGACATCTTCAAAGCATTACGAATCTCATCATAGTTTGAGGAGTCATAGATTCCATAAAGTTTCACATCATCAGCATA